AAAGAAAATGTTAGCATCTTATTTGAAATTCCAGAGTGTGTTAATGCTTCCTGCATTCAGATCATGTTCAGTGAAGAATGGGGCATGTGATAAAAGGAGCTTCGTTTTCTGACATGATGTTTGGCTCAAGCAGCCAAAAAGACATTCTCTCTTTCGCCCGCTGACTCCAATTTATAATTCAAACTCAATTTAGGCAGAAGACAAGTCATTCTTTTACAGCAGGCTTCCTCAACCTTGGCCCTCCAGATGTTTTTGGCCTACAACGCCCATGATCCCTAGCTAGCAGGACCAGTGGTCAGGGATGATGGGAATTGTAGTCTCAAAACATCTGGAGGGCCGAGTTTGAGGAAGCCTGTTTTACACACTGCCCAACTACTTTAGTAACTTAGAGCCAGCACAACTTCGCCCTTGCATTTGTGGAGCTTATGGATCCCAAAGGCTTGTACCATACCATGCCAGGGCACATTTCATGCAGCTCCTAGTGGAGGAATGGATCATGTTGTTAGAGCTGAATAGGGGTCACTTGTCCATCCTACCAGAAAAGGAAACATGGGCATTCCAACATGCTCTGCTGCATATGGGGATGAGGGAGGGACAATCCAGGCATACTAGTGGATACCCAGTTTCACTGTGGACACCACACATGCACTGTTTCAGAGTCCAGTCCTGATCCACTCAGATCCAAACTTCAAGCTAGGTGGAGACACACAGATGCTGCTGACCTGTATTTGCTCTGCCATGAAGTTGTGGAGTTTATGGGCAGGGGGAAGCAGTGGTGTAGCATGGCTTGCCAGTGCCCGGGGCCGTGTGGAGGGGGGGGTGGGAGGGAGGGAAATGGACAGAGCATGCATGCACTGCCTAATGGTGTCTGCAGAAGAATCGTTCCATTATCTGGAGAGATCACCTCCTGGTTTGCATGGAGAAGCCGTTTTCAACAGAGACCGGCGACGGAAGCACGCAGCACTGGGTGCTGAAATTCTGCACCCAGGACAACCTCCTCTGTGGTCTCCTCATGCTACGCCACTGAGGGGAAGCAAGATGTGACATCCTCACATTTCCCCGAACTCTGCAAGCAGCAACCAGTACAGCTGTTGGGTAGGCCACAGACTCTGGCAGCTGATCTGATCAAGTCCCTAAATGTGGCAACAGATTCTGATTTATTCTGGAATCAGGCAACAATAGGGGTGCTTTTCTGTGTTGTCAATACACATGGATGACACAATATAAATAATAATAACAATTATAATAGTAGTAGTATTAATAATAATAAAAGTTACCCATCCCTAGTGTGCAAACATACTGAGAATCACTTTTCAGCAAGAAAACCTGGGAATGAAGAAATAGCCAGTTCTACCTGGGATGCTGCACAAACTACTTTCCCCATTATAAATATCAGCAGTAAATAAATTGCTGCTACAGACACACCCTTTCAGGAACGGGCAACCTGTGGCTCTCTACATGCTGTTTGACAAAATTTTCAATACCCCTGACTCTTGGCTGTGCTGGGTTTGGTGGCAGCTGAAGTCCAGCACCATCTGCAGGATCGCAGGCTCCTCACCTCTGCTCTCTCCTTTGCCTATTAGGTTATTAAATGCCTACCTATATTTTATTCTAGAAAGAGTCCAATTGTTACAGATCTGTCTATCTCTCAACAAAGTATCTTTGCACAGGACTCAGGATTCTTAAGAAGAGGATGGTCAGAAATGAAAATACCCTTCTCCAGGAATTTTTGTTGGCATCCATCTGTCTCAAAAGACAATGGAGTGCGCCTCTGGGGGCAAAGTCAAACCAGGAATTGTGGGCACATATATATGAGAGCATCAACCTTGAATGTATAGCAGTGAGGAGCATTCAGCTCAGAAACTAGGTCTTGGAAGTCATCAGTGATGGAAGGCAGGAAGTTCAGAAAGGAAAGGGAGGATCCTGCTGGGTGCCCTGTTCACACCATTGTGTTTTCTTCCCTCTTCACAATGGTGTGAGCTGGAACAGGGTGCAGTGGCCCTCATTTTGGATTTCCTGCTTTTTTGTTGCTGCTGGTGTTGTGTTGCATCCTTAACACTGTCTTTGTTTGGAATAAGTCAGTTTTCAGTCTAAAGTAGGCAAGAAAAGAGTGTGTGCTGTGCCAGAAGCGTATGCCCAGACTCTTTGGCTGGTTCCCACAGCTCAGGCGCTGGGGCTGCCGAGAGCAGAAAAGGCACTCATGCCATTAAGATGCAAAATGTGCACAGGAGACCCTCACTCTGTCTTAGAAATGCCTTGCCCTAACCTAATTGTCAAAGACCAAAAACGGTGGCTTCCATACAGCCACTGCATGTTAATTGCTCTTTTGGCTGGAGGATTAGCGGTTTTAACTGGGTAGCAAGAGAAGGAAACCTGGAATGGGTCACATCCACACCGTATATATTGCACACCTTTAAAGCACATGGTTTCCCTCTTGGGAACTGTAGTTTATCTGCCACTGAGCTACAATTCCCAGTACCCTGAACAAACAACAGTTCCCAGGATTCTTCAGGTCACGTCAACCCGCTACAAATCCACCTAAGCATATTGTGGGGGACTTTGTCAAAAGTCTTACTGAAATTAAGATACACTATGTCCACAGCATTCCCCTGATCCACCATGCTTGTTACTCTATAAGAAATGAGCTTAGTCAGGCATGAATTGTTTTTGAGAAACCCATGCTGGGACATGGTAATCACAGCATCCTTTTCTAAGTGCTCATTGACTGTTTAATTATCTGTTCTAGGACCTTTCCTAGTACTGATGTCAAGCTGACTGGCTAGTAGCTACCTGGGTCTCCCCCCCCTCCATTTTTGAAGATAGGGACAACATTTACCCACCTCCAATCCACAGGGACCTCACCTGTTCTCCAAGAATTCTAAAAGATTTTAGACAGAGGTTCTAAGTTCCTATAGTACCCTTGGGTGTAGCTCATCAGGCCCTGGAGATTTGAATTTATTTAATGTAGCTAGGTATTCCCTTACTGTCTCTTTTCCTATATTGGGTAGCAGCTCCCTCCTTGCATCATTTATTCTGTTATCACCAGGTTGGGCATTGCTTTCCCTTTGGGTGAAGACAGAGGCAAAGTAGGTATTGAGCAGTTTCACCTTTTCCCCCCTGCCACCCAACAGCATTTCTCTGTCATCTCCACACAAAGGACCTACCACATGCTTGTTCTTCCTCTTGCTCCGAACATAGCCAAATAAACACACACACACACACACACACACACACAACCTCTGTTGCAAGCCTCAGCACTTTCACTCCTAGCTTGTTCACACGAGCAGGGCCTCATCATTCTCAGATTTGTTCCTGTTCGTTTATGCACTTTGGGGGTTGACAGGACAGGGATGTCTCTATCCTATGCAAAGCTGTTCACACCTTGGCTAAAGACAAATTAGGAACTGCTTAAAGGGCTCCAGTTGGTGTGAAGCTGGAATAAAAAACAATGTGCAGAACAGCAGTATTTTGTACCAAAATACAGTGGTACCTCGCAAGACGAATGCCTCGCAAGACGAAAAACACGCAAGACGAAAGAGTTTTTCGTTTTTTGAGTTGCTTCGCAAGACGAATTTCCCTATGGGCTTGCTTCGCAAGACGAAAAACGAAAACGTCTTGCAAGTTTGTTTCCTTTTTCTTAAAACCGTTAATACCCTATGGGAAACCATGCTTCGCAAGACGAAAAATTCGCAAGACGAAAAAACTCACAGAACGAATTAATTTTGTCTTGCGAGGCACCACTGTACATACGCATTGTGTGACCACAGATTAAAAACTCAGCACTGGAAATGCAGTTAATGGGAGTGTAAACAAAGCCACTGTCTCTCAATCTTACCTTACAGGGTTCTTGGGAAGATAAAAATAGGAAGGAGAAGAACCCTGTGTGTTACTTGGACCTCCTTGGAGGAACGTTGGTATGTAAACATTCATTCATTAATAAAACTCAAAACTATTTGACTTCATAAATGAAAGGCAAGGCAAAGGAATTAATAAACTGAACTGAGCCTCACCCCTCATTGTTCAACACCAAAATGCATAGGCACACAACTGTATTCAATTTGCATCAGTATAAAGTTTCTCTCTTAAAACCAATCATACTCTTATTATTTTGTAAATAACGTTTTAATTTAAATATTGTCAGGATTAGCAAAATGACTGCTTTTCTCCTTTTCTCCCCTCATGGCAGTTTGCTAACAGAAATACAGCCCCCCCTCTCCAAACTGGGATTAATAAGAAGGACAATGACAACAAACAAACAAACAAACAAACAAACAAACAAACAAACCCCTCCGTCCTCTTTCACTGGCATTTTACAGACAGAGAGCTGGCTGCCCTCCAGGATCTGACACAATGTCTGGAATCCCCAGAGCAGCTGGAATTCATTTTCTCCCTTCAAATCTATGCAATTTCATATGAAACTGCAGTTTGGCTGCATAGCCAAGTACTTCTGGGAGTGTACAGTGCAAGAACACACACACACACACACACCCCCTGCTGTTTCTTCCTCACTCCACACTTGCTGAGCAAGGAAGTTCCAACTGCCAGTCACCTCCCCCCACCCCAAACAACTGTACAAAATGGAATCATTCATGACTGTATAGAAACGGGCTGTGCCCAGAAATGTGTGCAAGTATAACCGAGAACACTGTGTCTCCATTACAAAACAAAAGATTGCCGAGATGGTGAATGTTCACAAATACTCCCAAGTCTGAGTAGTTTGCCCTCTGCTTTGGGGGTGCTTTCTTTTCTTCCTTTTCCTTTTCTTAAAAAAAAACCACCCTGTGCCGTTTGTCAAGCAGCCTTTTGGCTGCGCTTCAAAAATGCCTTTGAGGTTCTGCTCCCCGTCGAGTCCTTCCGTGCAAGGATTGCCGTTCTCGAAACATTACGTTGCAGTTAGGTGGCACAGGGCTTCAAGGCTGGATTCTTCCCCCCGCTTCCTCCTTTTGAGTTTCAAATTAGGTTCAAGTTGGAATGGATTGAGAGAAAGATGGGAGAGACAGTCACAAAATCACACACTGCAGTTTGTGGGAGCTGGGTGCTCGGTCCCCACGCCACTTGGTCTTCCTCTTCTTCTTCTGACTTTTCTCTGGGACCTGTTGCCTGAACAGAAAAGAAAAGAAACAGGCTTTCAGGACATTAAGGATTTCTTTCCCAAAAAGTAACATGTGTTTGGATCTGCGCCATTGGAATAGATCAGTAAATTGTAAGTTTCTTTGAGTTTACAGTTCATTAGGACCAAGACTCATTGGTCCTAATGATGATGATGATGATGATGATAAGAAGAAGAAGTGGGGAATGTAGAAAAGGATAAGCAACTCACAAATCCCTCCTGCTTCCCTGATCTCTCTTGAAGAAGGGTAGAGATCACATATGTAAATAGTACTTCCAACTCCCCACCCTAAGAATCCTGGGAATGGTAGTTTGCTAAAGATGCTGGGCACTGGAGTTCTGTGAGATGTTAACTACAGCTTCCAGGGATTCTTTGTTTGAGGGGGCAGAATGTGCCCTGAATGCACTTTAGATGTATGGTGTGGTCACAGCCGAAGCTTCCCCCCTCTTTAAAAAAAGTGGTTGACAGGGTTTCACTACGCATACCTGCATGTGTGTGTACATTGAGTTAGGTCTTGAGCTTTCTGGGCTGGAGTCAATTAACAGGGTGTGCAAACAGTAGGGCTCCCACTAGTCCAATAGCACTTTTCTCCTCCTCCAAATCCACTCTGGAGGGTCAGGAGTGTGGGTAATTGCAGTCAAACATAACTATGCGTAAGTGCTATTTTGTGCATGAAGCGGTTAACATAGAGAAGCCTCTTCCTGGACACAACTAGGAAGTAAACCTGCTTCTTTTCCTTTATTCTCTTTCTCTCTCTGTGCCATGTAATCAATCAAAGTTCAGACCACATGTTTGAAACTATATTGTGTATTTTGACCCAAGAGCAATCTACCAGTGTTATTCTCGCTGCAGCATGGAACAATGCTTGAATCAGACTTTTGGATTTAGTAAGTAAAGCTTTTAAACTTACTTAACAGGGTGTGGTGTGTTCATTGCTAGAGTCGTAGAGAGGGGGCAAGCATTTTAAGGAAGACTAAATGGGATATGCAAAAGGGTTTGACAACCTATATTCCACACTATGCTGTGGGTTAATTCTAACAGTGTTTTTAACTATGCTGGGGGCTCTCCCCCACTGGAAAGTGTGCAAAGCCCTGTGTTTTGAATCTAGATGCCCAGCCGATTCTTTTTGTTAATTACCCACACGTGGGTCAGATCTATTTTCCACCTCCACAAGGAGAACCCCCCAGAACTGCACAGCGGGGGAGATCTTTCCATCTGGCAAGCAGAAATACTTGAGCTGATGGAATGATCATAAGAGTGTGATGCTGAATTCTTTCCTCTGTCTCCAGCATTCTGAGGCCCTTGGAGCGAAGCAGACTTCCCTCCCTAACAGCTGGTACAGAGTTGTGCCCTGAAGGGAGAGCAGATTTTAATCATTATGCTAAGTACTCTTCTAATTAGAGCCTGACTGAACTGGGGACCTTGCTGTGGCTAAATTCGCTCAGTGTAAAAAATGGGCAGGGCTTGCTCTGTGCACTTGGTCTCTTGAAAAAGAAAAAATGGTCATAGCATCTGCTTAATCCTTTGTATTTGAGCACCACCTTCTGACCCCAGCTATTTCACTCTCCCTCTCCCAAGGAACAGAGATGGATTTCCTAGAGTGAAAAAAAGAAGAGGATGGTGGATCAATCCCTTCTTCCCCTTCACTGTTTCTCCACTAGATCTCACAACCTTCTGAAGTGGCTTTGGATTTTTATTTTTATTTTAAAGTTGGTAGAAAGAGGCACATGACCTGTCTGCAATAGTGACTCATGTCCAACGGAGGAGCTACCCTCTCAACAGCTTACTTGAACAGGACTCGGGGGGGGGCAGAGCAGTGGTTTGGGTGGGGCTGCATGGACATACCAACAGAGCCAATCTGGCACTCGTGGCCTGCAGCTCTCCATTCAGGTAAGCTGCAGCTCCGCTGGGGTCAGGAGTGATGGGGTTGCCATAGTTATGCTGCCCCACCCTTCCTGCTTTTCTTTCGAAACCTGTTGTGAGCAGAGGTGTAAGAAACATGCAAGAAACCAAGGAGAACAGCAACTCACTCACACGACTTTCATTCCCCTCAAAAACTATTTTCTGTCTCTAGTCTTGAACTTTGACAGCCGAGAAAATTCATGTCATAGAAAAGGTGTGTTCTTATAATAAAGGAGCTGGTAGTTTCATCTAGTGGCTGCAAGCCCACAGCATCTAATGTGGTGAGTTGAGAGATGGGCTCCTCTACCCAGCTCTAGTCTCAAGAACAAGAGACTTTGGCCCCAGGATGGGGAACCTGCAGGCCACTGAATGTTGCTCTCCTCATCCTTGAACATTGGGCTGGAGTTGATGGAAGTTCAACAGCCTCTGGAGGGCTACAGGTTTCTTTGCTTCACCCATTCCAAGGATGCCCTCTGTCGCTGATCTATAGCCCCCTCCATTTCCAGCTCAAGGTAGACCTTTGCCATTTCCTCCCATAGGACTTGGTACAAATCAGTGAATGCAGAAAGGTGCCAACGTAAGTATTTTCTGTATAGAATTTTGTTGAAAGGGCAGAACAAAATATCACTATGGTGTGGCATGGCTGTGGCTCTGGTTCTGAAGTGTGTGTCATGTCGTTTAGGTGTAACACCAAGAGCAGCAGCATTTCTCAAGCTTTTCCCTTCCACTGAATCCTCCTTCTATCTCACATCCCTTCTCTGCAAGCCAGGAAAAGCCGGAAGAGTCTTGCAATGACTGAAAAGCTTGTATGCTGGAGAAGCAGAGTCTATGCTGCCTCCTCTGTGCAAAACTGGGGCTGGCAGGCATATAAAGCCTCCATTCTAGCAGAGCTTCCTAGAGAACACAACTGCAAGGCAAGGCTGGGTTATCTTTCCTGGCTGAATGGGTCAGTGTGGCATAATGGACATATACAAATGCCAGATGTCCCATTCCAGTTAAAGGCCTACAGTTAATGAAGATGGGAAGGCAGCACAGAAATCCATTTTGAGATGGATTAATGCAGGGATGCCCAACAGGTCGATCACGATCTACTGGTAGATCCCCGGGAGGTTTTGGTTGGTCGTGGTCGATCGCTGGGTCCCTTTCCTTAGTGTAAAATAGAATTCTGCAGAACTGAAGACGGAGTTTACTCAGCGAGGCTGTTTGTTTCCCCAGCGATCTATTGGTGAGTGGCTGTCCCCCTTTCTCCCTAAAAAAAGCTCAACAGAAAAAAAATATTCAAAGGGATATTCAAAGAAAGAGAGAGGCTTACAAATCAGCATTGCTTCACAGAAAGCAAAGAAATAAACAAAGAACAGCAGCTCTCCTTATTACCTAAGCTTGCAACAGATCTTTCTATTTAAAACATACTTATAAGGAAGCATGTCCTATTGGGCCTAATGGAACTTACTTCTTTGTCAACGTTTTTCCTCCTCACTGGATAAAATCAGCTACCTGTCTTTAAGGACACGGCAGAGCATGTTAGTGACAGGTGCCACATCATCCCTATGAAATTCCAATTGAATGTGCAGAATTTCTTATGAGTCGCAATGAAAATGAGGAAGATAATATTTATAGCATTTTATTTTCAGTGCAGAATGGAATTAATGGTCACCAACATTCTGATTCCATGCATCCGCATGACGTCATTCACATATGGGCTGGGAGGCTCCCAGTCCTTTTTTGCAGAAACATTGGCTGTATATACACTATACCTTTAAAGCTCATTTGAAGCACATTCCGCCCCCCCTCGAATTATGGGCCCTGTAGTTTACTGAGTTGCAACTCCTAGCAACCATTCACAAACCACATTGACAATAATTCTTCGAGGCGGGGAGGATATGTGCTTTGAATAGTGTGTACGCAGCCCTTATGATGCCCAAGTTAAGCAAGTTAATGTTGTGCTGCTATAAAAATGGTTTGGCTTGTAACTGGTTAACTGCATGAGAAGAAAAGAATTGCAGTTTACTCTCAAGGCCTGAGAAATAAAATGTTTGGGGGTTTTGAGTTGCCAGTGTGCAAAGAAACTGTCTGACACATAGTTACCTCTTTAGTAACTGTGTCTTGTGAGTTTGGTGTGTGTGTGTGTGTGTGTGTGTGTGTGTGTGGAGATAAGAGAACCCTAACCAGAAGGAAGACTTTTAGGTTAAAGCCCTCTGGAAAGCCTGTGAACAAAAGGGGTGTTAGTTAAAAAAAAAAAAGGACAAAGGACAAAGAAATAGATTTCTTTAGAAGTAACTATCATTTTGAAGATAATTTCAAAGTATCGTTAAACATCTAACTTTCAGACAAGCCTGTTATATGACATTCTAAACAAGTTTTAATAAATTGTTTGAATTTTAAATTAAAATTTAAAATTCTGGAGGGTAGAACTCAAACCAATGGCTTCAAGTGCAAGAAATGAGATTCAGACTAAACATTTGAAAAAACTTTCTGACAGTAAAAGCTGTTCAGCAGTGGAACAGACTCCCACGAGAGGTGGTGGACTCTCCTTCCTTGGAGGTTTTTAAGCAGAGGTTGGATGGCCACCTGTCATTAATGCTTTAGTTGAGATTCCTGCATTGCAGGGGGTTGGACTAGATGACCCTTGAGTCCCTTCCAACTCTAAACTTCTATGATTCTAAGTCTCCCAGCCTGTTAGGGTGCTTCCAGACTGTTACTAATTTTGGTTAGGATTCAAGCACATAGCAGAAATTCCTGTTGCAAAATTACAGTTGACTGAAGTCTTGTGCAACAAGCCTGCTTCCCCAGAATGTCAGACTTTTGGCAATAAAGAAAGTGTCGGGGAAATGCAGTGGAAAGTGTGGGATAATACTTGCTTTGATGCAATGTCACCTAATCTCCCTGCTAGCAAATCAAGCTGATCACTCAATAAGCAGGTCCTCTGGAAGTGGCCTCAGTCCTGTGCCTAGACCCAGCTACTGTGTGTGGGTGTGCAGTGATATGTGAACAGGGGAGTATTTAGAATTTATTTCATGATGGCAGCAGAATTCAAAGGAATAAGGTAAGCAGGTACCATCGTTGTATAAGGGTTAAGTGGTGGGGATTCTACCTGTAAAAATACAAAGGTGGAATGGTAAAACAGGAAGGCTTTCAGTTCTGTATCAGACACAGAAAGAGACACATAATTGTGGCAAAATGGGGCAGAACTGTCACAGGTATTTTCATGCAAGGGGATCAAAAGCGATGCTTGCTTCAGGTATGGTTTACTATATGAATGTAAATCTGGCACTGTCACTCACAAGTTAGGAATGGATGAATCTGTCCATTTCGGTCTCTCTTGGTTTACCATTATTCCAGTCTTAAATTCAATCTTAATTTCTTCAGCAGTTTGCCATTTTTTTCAAAGATCCTCATGAAAATGCATCATGGATCCATTCTCTACCAGATCAACTTCAACAGCAGAGATGCCCTATAACAGGAGTTGGCAAACTAAGGCCCGAGGACCGGATCAGGCCCAATTGCCTTCAGGATCCGGCTTGCGGACTGTCCGTGGGGATTCTGTTTGGGCTGCGCCATTTCCCCCACTGCACCATTTCCCCCCTCCCTCTCACACACCACGGTGGTGCCTCCTCCCTCCCTCCTCCTGGCTTCTCCCTGCCCTGCCTAGAGGAGGAAGGGAGCTGGGTTGAGCTGGCTGGGCACCATTTTAAGCAGCCCCTCTCCTTTCACGCCGCTCATCTTCCCGCCGCCACCCTGGTGCTCCTGTGGGCAGTCCAGTGCTCTCCCCGCTGCTGCTGCGGCTGCTGCAATTCGGCCTCCGCTGCTGGCGGGAGGGCCCCCATCCCACCCCCAAAGTGCGGAAGAGGTGCCGGCAGCAGGAGGCCCAGCAAGCCACAATGCAGCAACAAACCCAGGCGAGGACCCCCCATCCAAACAATGACTATCATCAGTGCAGGTAAGAAAAAACCAATAATTTTAATTTTTATCATCTACAATACTGCCTGTCCTACCTGGTGCTCTTGCGTGGAATATATCCTTTTAAAATGCATCTGTGGGTTATTTGGGGGGCCTGCCTGGTGTGCATAGTAATTCGTTCATTCTCCCCCCAAAAAATAGTCCAGCCCCCCACAAGGTCTTAGGGACAGTGGACTGGCCCCCTGCTGAAAAAGTTTGCTGACCCCTAGAAGGCAATTAGCAAATGGAAAACCAGAGCAACCAGATGCTTCGCCATCCTTATGATGAAGATTCTTTGGGCAGAACCAGATGTTGCCCAATTTGCCACAGTGTCATGCGGGCACCTGTCCTTGATGCAAGATTTAAATGACGGGGGCTGCACCAGCTCAGCTCTGAGGGAGTCTTCTCAGTGCCAGTTTTACTAATGAGGAAAATGGTTTGAAAACAAGATGGCACAATTCCAGCTTGCATCTGTCCTCCCAAAGCGACTTCTCACCACCACCCACTCCCTATTTCTGCTGCCAAAGGAGATGATCTGGGATGAGTGGGTAGTGGCACCTGCTTTCCTGAGAAACAGGCATAAATCAGCAAAAGATATGACTGCAAGGAAGAAGGAAGCGCCACGTATTCCTCCTTTTCTCTGCACTGCTTGGGAAAATGGCCATGATAATGGTAGCGTTTCTGCAGGCCTGTATCCTCAGCTCAGTTGAGGCAGGGGGAGGAGAGAGGCATCACACAACATGTTTTCCAACTCTCTTGTACATGAAATCTTGTAAAACTGACCATTTCCATGGAAGCACATTTTCCAGGTGGAGTTATTTTTCAGCAGATTCATAGACATGCCAGTTCAGAGTTGTCACTGAGTTCAGTGGGCTTATACCCAGGTAAGCATTATAGTATTGCAGCTTTAGTAGGCAGGTTGTGTAGAAATTCAGCAAACAAACCCCCTTGAAGAAAATCTGCAGCCGAACTGGAAATATAATCCCAGTTTAGACAGGAGAGATTGATGGTTCATCCATTCCACCACAGTGGGTTCTCAACTTGAACTGGCAGTGCTTTTTCCACTCAATGGGCGAGTAAAACAACTCGGCAGCTAAATAAATGGACAAAGACATCCAGTGCTTTTGGACTTTGGCCAAAATAAGATATAGAGGAAAACCAGACACTGTAATACAAGTAAGAGTAATGAAAACTTCCAAGCTAAGTGGCAAAGTTGAGAGGAGAGGCACATTAAGCCCATATTTTAGACTTTTGTTTACATAAAAGCCAACTGGACTTTTCCTAATTTTGCATGTGGCAGAATATGGGTTCATGTTACATTGGGCCACTGTTGCACATGAGATTCAATGGCTTAAAGCAGGTATTTCCAGTTCTGAGGAGTCTCTTCTATTCCAGAGAACCTTCTCTGGGGCTGTACTACCAAGCTGGTTTCTCGTTCCCCCAGCTAAGCACCCCCACCCAGTCCAACAGCTTTCAGGCTAGATTGGAGCTAAGCACCTCTCGTCTTAGAAATGGACAATTACCCTGAGCTAGTGGTTCTAAGAAGGGTTCTGAGAAAACCTGGAGCTTATTTGAAACTTCTCTAGGGTTTCAGCATAAGAGAGTCCTCTTCCTTGAAAGGCACCTTGCCCACCATTACTGATCAGGGTACAGCTGTAGAAGAATGTTCCAGGAGCACTGTAAGTTTGATTGGAGGCTTAAGACGATTGGATGATACCCAATGAACACTGAGCATGGATCTTAGGACCTGCCCCCAAATTACCTAGCAGGTAATTTCCCCCACTCCCCCCCAGTTTTCAAAAAGAAGCAAGTTTGAAAGTCACCACCGTAAACCATCTCAGAAGGCATTAACCTTCAAGGATCAGGTGATACAATGGCCTGAGCTGGAAGGGGCATGTTGAGCTTAGATGACATCATGTCATCAGAACTCAAGGCTGACCAAGCTCACAAGGGCCATTTGAGTTGATTATGTGGACCATCTGTGATAGAGAGATCAAATGGTTCCACAACTGATCTGGGATAAGTATTGTGCTACCAAGATGGTCATTTGTGTGCTGAAATATATATATGTAAACAGTGCATTATATTAAAACTGGCATTTAGCAGTGAGATATGAACTAGCTCTTGCTTCTAGCAGGTGGATGATAGATTCATTAAACCCTTGCAAACCATGTCAGTATTTGGCCAACTCAACAGGCTGATGGCTCACCTGATTACTCGAACAAGATCATGGAAGGCTTTGTCAACATTCAATGGGGGATCCTTTGCACTGGTTTCTATATATGGAATCTGGAAAATAAAGGCCCAGTAACTCTTAAAAATGTATATTATTGGGGAAATGGTTCTATGTAATAATTCACGAGAAAGAAAACATTTGATTGGACAGTAGGGATTCCATTATAACAAAGAAGGAAGGTGGCTTGCACCGAATATAGAGTTTCATTTTTATTTCCCCAATCTGCCTGAAGACAGTTTGAATAACTAAAAGCTCAGAAAGATTAAAGAGCTGTTCACAGATAGAGCTTGTCACACTAATACTTGATAATGCGGACAAGAAGAGGGTGGGTTACATGTTCCAGGGTTTCTTCTGCTACATTTTGTACACTATTCCATGGCAGAAAATAACTTGATAAAGGTGCTCTCTAGTGGCATAGTTGCACTATAACCTTGCATCAGTTTTATACCAGTTTAACTGACATAGTCTCATGTAAAGAAACTTGGGAATGGGTAGTTTGGAGAGAGCTTTGCCGCCCCTCTCAAAATTACAGTTCCCAGAGTTTCCTGGGGAGAAGGAATGGCTGTCTGCAAAATATATATGTACTTACAAGGAGATCCATATTATTATTATTATTACTACTTCATTTTTAAACCACACTTCATTCTGTAACATCCCAGTGTGGGTCACAACATAATCAAATAAAATACAGTAGCACATAGCAGAACAGAAGACCATGGAAAAGGGATATTCAAAAGCATTCATATGAAATATAGAAATTTGCTGCTGATGTAGCCCTAGCAATGATAGTATATTTTTAGAATACATACAATGTCTTTATAGTACAGTGGTATCTCTGGTTATGAACTTAATTCGTTCCGGAGGTCCGTTCTTAACCTGAAACCGTTCTTAACCTGAGGTACCACTTTAGCTAATGGGGCCTCCCGCTGCTGTCAAGCTGCTGGCATGTGATTTCTGTTCTCATCCTGAGGTAAAGTTCTTAACCTGAGGTACTACTTCCAGGTTAGCAGAGTCTGTAACCTGAAGTGTTTGTAACATGAGGAGTTTGTAACCCGAGGTACCACTGTACCTTATTTTTTTAAAGCCATCTTGTGGAAATTTTTGGTGAAGGCACCACAGAAATTTCTGAAATAAATATATTCATATATTCCAGAAAAGACATATACTTGGTGGGTTAGGTGTACAAATGGGCACATGTGCATGCAAACAGACAACCTAGTCATACAAAATATAGTGGTTTTTTTGCTGATGGAAGAACAGACCTAGCATCCTATGTACTTCCAATAGGCCATAGGCTCTTACAGGTCATTGAACGGTCAAAGAAAACATCATGGAAAGAAACCAAAATACTTACATTGTGCTTTGCTGCCATCTCCTTTCCTTGCTCCCGGGTGATTTTTCGCAAATGCATTAAGTCTACTTTGTTGGCCACCAGGATCATTGGAAAAGATTCCCTGGAAGAAGCAAATAAAGAGAGAACATCAGTACAAAAACTCCCTGCTTCTTGGGTGTCACATTATTTCTAGTATCTGAAGAAGACAGAAACCACGAACCAAAGCACTTGCTGCTTAATTGAAGAACAGAGCTTGATCAAATCATGAATGAATGCCGTAGTGATCTACCAAGGCTTTTCTTATCTTTTGCTTGTGCATTAAATAGCAAATGTTAATAGCAAATGTACTTGCAGTGGACACCTAAAACCAGTCTAGAAATCTGAGCTTTGGCCTGGTTCACACATGCAAGGACACTGCTTAATTTCTCTTCTTGGTCATTGTCAGCAACTAGGAGCTGAATGTATGGACTGACTACTCGGTTATAAATGTTATTTATTGATGATGTTTATATACTGCTTAACTATTCAAATTTCTAAGCGGTACACATAAAAACAATCCACAGAAAATAAGACAACGTCAGTGGACTGGATGCTGGGACGGCAATTTACATTCAAGGAGGAAATAGTTTCCATTCTTCCTCCCTGCACTTGCAGTCACCTGTAACCCCCCAAAAGCTTATCTGGAGGGTGAGTAGGCACTCCTGAACAATGTGGGATGAGGCATGTGCCTGCTGGGAGACTGGGGAATTTGGATTCGAAGGCAACTTCAGGGAACTCACTGAAGGGAACATTTCTCTCCCTTGCTCCCTCCAGCATCTCTGTCGCATCCCCAAATGTACTTGTGTTCAATGTAACATGTAAACAAGCATACTTTACACACAGGCTGGCAGCATAAAACTGAGGATGTCACTTTCAAAGATTTTATAACTGGGTATGACATCTTATTGTTACAAGAGACCCGGGCTAGAGAGAATCTGGTTTTGAATGGCCACATCAGAAACACCAATGCTGTTCATTAAAAAATCTCCATAGGGCAGCATGCAGATATTTTAAATATAACTAATGGGTTAAAGGATGGGTCATAAAAATATAAAGTCATAAAAAATGTAGGAGATAAGGATGCAAATCAATTCAATGTCCACTCAGTCAAGAGTCAAACAAAAAAGTCCAGTCTCTCGAGGGAGGGCTCCGGCATTTTTACTCCTCAAAAGAATCCATGGGAGTTCAGAGTACTCGCAGCTCAAATGCACTCACCTGTCTTTGACTCGGAGAATGAGCTGGTGGAACCTGTCCACATGCTCGAAGCTGGCTTTATCTGTGACTGAGTAGACTATGAGGAATCCATCCCCCGTCCTCATGTACTGCTCCCTCATTGCGCTGAATTCTTCTTGGCCTGCCGTGTCCAGAACTAGGAATGGCAAGGGAATAGAGAAAGTAGAAGATGGTCAGTTGGCCTGCACCCAAATTGTGTGTCCGTCCTGACTCTCCTGCCCTAAACATATCTGCTTGAGAGCTAAGCCTCCTTTGTACACGTTGCCAGGTCTATGCTGGAGGAAGGTGAGGCTGTGCATAGCTAACCCTGCCCCACCTCCAGCCCTACCTACATCTGCACACTGACCAAGAAAGGTAAAAAGAGTTTAAGGGTGCATGCATGTAGGTGCTCCTTATGGCTATGCCCAGCTCAACATTTGGATGTTGGGAGGGTGCAGCCAGGGCAGTGGGGTACAGCACTCCCCTACATGTGTTCAGTGCATGTGTGAAGTCACACGCAAAGAGGGTGGCAGATGTGCTTAGGATGACAGCTGAAGTCTCCCAGATTATTAGTTTTAGCATTGATGAACACCCCATTGTAACCCAAGAACTAGACTGAAAGGGGGATTGAGCCTTGCAACAGTAAGATTCCCCTCTGACAATCTTCTTCTCCCTTTGCATTGCGGATGTACAGCCGTACCTTGGAAGTTGAACGGAATCCGTTCCAGAAATCCGTTCTACTTCCAAAACATTTGAAAACCAAACCACAGCTTCTGATTGGTTGCGGGAAGCTCCTGCAGCCAATCAGAAGCTGCAGAAGCACCGTCAGACATTTGGGTTCCCAAAGAACGTTTGCAAACCGGAACAATCACTTCTGGGTTTGCGGCGTTCGGAAGCCAAAATGTCCGAGTTCCAGGGCGTTCGACCACCAAGATACGACTGTATATATTAAAACTCAAACCCCAGCATTTGAGGACCAAGCTAGACAGGGCATTTTGTCACATCGTATGTTGTGTAACTGCATTTTGTTAAACACATAGGCAGCAAAGGAGTCCCTGGACCACGGAATAATCCATAGAGACCAAGCCCAGGGCAGCTTCACATGGTACACTTTTGGCAGATGCACTAGTATATTTCTGAAAAATAAACTATGCTCAAGCACCTGTAGTGAAGAGCAGAGCAGAGGCCACTTCTATCTACCTCCATCCCGGCAACCAACAGAGGTTTGGCTCTTTCATGTTCTTATAGAAGTATTTAGCTACTCACTGTTAGAAACAGGATACTGGTCTAGAGAACCCAACGGGCCTGTGGTTGTTGTTGCTTTTTAAAACATCAGTCCCACTGTATGCTTGGTGTACGCTTGGTGAAATAAATGTTGCTGTTACGATTATAACGTCTTTGTATTCTTTAACCTGCCCCTTCTGAAACATTAGCTTCTCTCCTTGGCTAGGAGGAGGGAAGGCGAACCCTGCTCCATATATTTGCAGTCTGCGTGGGTCCAATTCTGAGGCACCCTTTGGGGGGGGGGGAATGGTTGAGAACATTCTTTCCTTCTTATAAAAGTTATTTTCCATAACTCTTTGTTGCCAGACGGAGAAAGGCATGACCTCAAGGCTACTCCTGAATGACTGTTCTAAAGCCATTAAGCAAAAGCAAACCAAAAGCCCAGGAAGAAAAAGAAGAAGAAGGAATTATGCTATAATTGCTTTCTTTTAATATCGTGCCCTTGTTTCTCCGGCAGACCTTGTGAGTGGATTTAAGTGCCGAGGGATGGCACGTGGTACAGTCTTCTCATGGAACAATGACAATCTCTGAATGCATACAAGTGGAGTTGTTTGAAACTGCCTCATGTCAAGCTAGCGGGTTACAGTGGTACCTCGGGTTACATACGCTTCAGGTTACATACGCTTCAGGTTACAGACTCCGCTAACCCAGAAATAGTGCTTCAGGTTAAGAACTTTGCTTCAGGATGAGAACAGAAATTGTGCAGTGGCAGTGGCAGGCCCCATTAGCTAAAGTGGTGCTTCAGGTTCAGAACAGTTTCAGGTTAAGTACAGACCTCCGGAACGAATTAAGTACTTAACCTGAGGTACCACTGTACTTAGAAAGCTAGCACACCAGAGAAGGCACCAAGCTTGGCCTTTATCCTGAAATGCTTTGCATATGCAGGGAGATTTTGACATGGAAGCACTTGACCTGCCCCCTGAAGCTTCAAATGGAACAGTTAGAATCATATTACTGCAGAGCTAGCAGGGACTGTGAGGGTCATCTAGTCCAACCCCCTGCATTGCAGGAATCTCAACACTTAAGGGTGTACCACATTTTCTCCTTAATATCTAAAGTAAGGTTACCAGACGTCCCCGTTTCCTGGGGACGGTCCCCGGATTTACGAACCAGTCCCCATACAAAATCCATTGAAGTTGAAAAGTGTCCCCAGATTCACTGAAAAAGATCTGGTAACCTTAAAGAGGTTCTTATGCCTCAGAGCATGCACAGAATGCATTTCCCCCCACCACAAACTATGGAGCCACAGCCAGCCTCTATATATTTGGGATTAGGGAGCACAGAGGCTCCAGGTCAAAGACTGTGGCCTCCAGGCAAGTTTACACCTCTGTTTTTCAAAGTCGCCGTATTTTTCGCTCTATAAGACGCACCCGACCAAAAAATATTCTGAATCAAATGTTGTTGAAGAGGAAGGAGGAGGGATGATCAGGCTAAGGCATCATAACAAGAGGTTCTGCGCAGCTCTCCCTCTTGCTGTGCTGGGTTCAGCAGAGCAGTGCAAAGCCTCTTCAGCAAAGCGGGAGGAGGAATGCTCCCACTTCGCTGAAGAGGCTTTGCGCAGCTATCGCTGAAGCCAGAACAGCAAGAGGGATTGCTGGGCAGCTCTCCCTCTTACTGTTCTGGCTTCAGCGATAGCTGCGCAGCCTGCATTCGCTCCATAAGACACACAAACATTCCCTCTTACTTTTTAGGAGGGAAAAAGTGCGTCTTATGGAGTGAAAAATATGGAAAGCCCTCTGCTCACTAGATATACAGTTCAACATGTTATGCTAAGGTGATTGTTCTGTCAGTGCAAGCATTTCTGCTTGACAGAATGACCTCCCTTCTCCTCCCACTGTACACTGTTCTGGGAGTTTTCCCAATTCTCCCAATAGGATTTGGGGAGGATGAGGGGAAGAGCGGGAAAAGTCCTGATGCGCTAGCAGAACTCATTGTGCTTGCTTCTGCCAGGACAACTACTTAGTTGAATCTGGTCCACTGTATCCACTGCTTGGTGAAATGTAAAGGCAGATTCAGGCCCCTAGATCTTAGCTCCCCCCCATTAAAAATTAAAAAAGCAATATGTAAGGTATACACTTACACTATCTATTTAGAGCCCCTCAGATATGATTTCTATTGTGCATTCGTGATGATTTGTGCTTGTGATGGTATTGGGGTGGTTATATATGTTCTTGCTTTCAATACTTTTTGTGGCTACAAAATTTCAAAGTGGAAATACTGTTCCATTTCTAATTAGTGTATATCCCATAATATCCTCCTGAAATCCCACAATTTTTTTTGTACCACAAGTGTCTTGGTTTACTTTTCGTCCCTCAAGACACCAATAATGACACAGCGTTGGGGAAGCATCTTAGAACAAATAATAGAGCAAAATGATCTGTGGCCGGTCCAGTGTAAATCCATCACTAATGCACTTTTGTTGTGTCAAAGACATGTTATGGAATACGCTCACACACAAAAAACCAATTTGGAAGGCTTTGCAATTTCTGTATCATAAAATATCAGAGTAGCATACAACACCTCTGAATCGCTGCTATGCTAATTTGTAATCTGTTGCTCTGATTCTGCATTTGCCATGATGTGATGGCATACCACATGATACGAGAAATCCTTAGAAGATTTACAACCAGTGAGGGTGGTGTGAAACAGCCAACGCTTTTTCCCCTTCAAAGAAAGAGAGAAAGGGATCTAATTTTGGGGAGAGGGGAGGGATTGATTCTAATACAAAAAAAGCAAACATCAGGATTCAAAACTATCCCTCTCCTCTGTAAGGGAAGAAATAATTTCACTTCTGATGAAGCATGGATTTGGAGTGCTAAGAAGAGATGGCAGAACTAGGAACCTGTTCACTGACCTTGGTGCAAAAAGGGCCTGAAGAATAGAGGCAAAAACCCTAACTGTTTAGCTTATTTAGAAGTCAGATTTTAAAACAAAACAAGAAACCCAGGCACCAGCACCTCAGTGACAGCGACTATGCAAGCATGAATGCTTTCAGAATGATCGCCGGCCCTTTAACCTTCTGGTTAGATTATTCCCAAGCTGTTTTTTATGATCTTTGCAGAAGCGAGGCAGACGAACCAGCGTGATCTTGGTGTGAAGCAAGAGCACATCTGGAGGTGGGCCAAGACAAACACAGCAAGAAACGCTGACAGAACTTATGGGAAGAATTTAGGCAACCAGCTTACACGTACTTGTTTAGGGGAAGGCTAAATTGACCCAAGTGGAATTCACTTCTGAGCCAACAGAAGCATACATACTTGTGCAGTTAGTACCAGAGCATAAATGCATAAGATTGTAATTCTAAATATCCTGGATGACTATGGTGTTGTGGGCATAGCGCCTTGTCTTAACCAGATTTGCTCACGTCTCAGGGATTTTGATGGAATTTGTTTCCAATCAAGTAGGCTTACAATGCCAGCCAGAAATCAAAACTGTGAAGGTAGCTCCCAAGCATCCTTTAAAACAAAATAAAATCCACACCTCTTCCTTCCCATTTTTTTTACCTGCTCTGGTTCGCCAGAAGCGGCTTAGTCATGCTGGCCACATGACCTGAAAGCTGTACGCCGGCTCCCTTGGCCAATAAAGCGAGATGAGTGCCGCAACCCCAGAGTCGGTCACAACTGGACCTAATGGTCCGGGGTCCCTTTACCTTTACCTTACCAAGGTACACTTACACTTGGTCGGTAGTTTGAAGGAGGGATGCAAGTACAGGCTGCAACTTTAGACTTGCACAGTTGAAGTTGATAAAATGGATTTGTCACCCTGGTGCAACAAATCCTACCCTGCAGCCCCCCCCTTTTTAAAAAAAGAAAAAAAAACCCAAAACTTTTTGCAGTTAGGACAGTGAAAAGTGTGGAACAAATGAAGGATTAATGGGAAGACATATAAAACACCTTGCAAGCAAGTCAGGATGAATGCTGATTGTCATCTAACATCCTTGCACACAAATCACAATGAATGCTCAATAAAGACTGGCTGGAGCCTAACTTCTGTTTAAGCTTTGTGCAAGCAAATCAGGATGGAGGCTCAATGAACAGGTTGCCTGCGGGGGGCTGGTGCTCAGGTTCTTGTGAGCCAATATGCTCAGGAGACTTCTGTTCGCCTGCCTTGTTAAAGCATTTTTCTTTGGCTTCAGATTTGGAGCACCAGCACCAGACTGGCCTCCAGCAAATTTAATAATAATAATAATAAAAATAATAATACTCTGTAAGCATCAGATTCAGCAGCAAATAGAAGATGTTGGGTGGTTGCAGCAGCAGTGGGAGAAAACAGGAGTCTAAAACAAGTTGTTTGATCCAAACTGTTCAAAACAAAGGTGGAATTAATTTAGTGTAGCAAGATTAATTCTTGGATTCCAGCCGTGTGTTCATAAACATTGCATGTATACAAATGCACCGAGTTTGTGAGCAACTGGACAAGCAGCCCCAGGAGAGAAATGATGAAAATAGCTACGTGCAGAGAAAGTGGTAGTGGTTATCAAAAAACATCCCTTGCATAATAATTCACAAGTTTATGAATAGCGCCTGCCTTGGTTACCTTTATTTTCCTACATTGTTCTCTTGTAAAAGTAAAAGTTCAAGAGGGGGTCGGATTTCTTTTCAGACCTGTAAGAGTGCTTTTCAAGTGCACATGTCATCTGAAGCAAAAACAGCAAAGACAACAACAATGCAAAATGTGAATCTGTAGCTGAGTCGATTTCAGGAATGGCTTCAGTTTGTGTAAATTTGGGAACACTTTGAAGGGCTGGTGCAATGGATTAATAAAGAGGGTGTTTGAGGAGACGTGGGTTCAAATCTTCACTTCACAAAGCTCATGGAGTAACCTAGATCAAGCCACATTCTCTCTTTCTCTCTTCGCCTCACCTGTTCCGTAGCATAGTTGTGAGAATTGAATCCCATATATGCCCCTCTCAGGTCCTTGAAGAAAAACCAGAAACTCAGCATGGCAAACAAATAAATACCATCAATCTCACCTTCATACCACTGCTCAGTCTTGGAGCCAGTACTGAGAGAAATACAGTACAATGCTAATGTACTGAAATACGCTCCTGGAACAACAGGTAGGAGAGAACTTCTGAGTTTCTTTATTTGAACTAGGGAAGGGTGTAGCACAGAAGTTTCATTGCTTCCAGCCAGGAAGGCAGAGCATAGCCATCATGCCTAGTAGCCATTGATAGCCTTCTCCTCCATGAATTTGTCCAATCCTTATTTAAAGTCATCAACGTTGGTGGCCACCACTGCACCTTGTGGCAGTGAGTTGAACAGTTTAACTACACATTATACTTGTCTCTAGCAAAATCTACTTCTATCCAAGTGTTTCATTCTTTTTGTGTGTGTTCTTGGCTTGACTTCTGTCTGGTGCCTTTTTGTCTGTTGTATTGTTTTCTCTCTCTCTCAGTGGTTTTTATATTTTCTCTGTAGCACGCTGCCTAGCAAGATAAACATATTTTTGAATACCAGGGCAAAACACTCCATTAAAGACCCAAATGCCTGTGTGTTCTGGCCATGATCTCCCAAACCAAAACTTCAGTGATTTAAATCATTATCATTAAAATAACTTTCATTTGGAGAAGAAATGCCAAGGCAGGTTGAGAAATATACTCTGCATGGAATAAAGGGCAAATCGGAATAGCTCCACTTGATTCTTGCATCTCATTTATCTACACTGAGATATAACATATGCAATCAATAAGATATATGGAATTTATGCACACACAAAAGTTGAGCCGCATCAGATGAAAGCCCATCAATTCAAAATAGGTGGCTCACCATCTAGAATGGCCCACTGCCCATCTATCTCCGTATGCTTCAGGTAAGAGTCTTCAATAGTTGGATCATAGTCTGGCACAAAGATCTTCTGGAAAAACTGAATGGTGAGGGCACTCTTCCCCACACCCCCATCTCCGACCACCACCAACTTGTACGTGGGAAGGTTTTCACTTGGAACAGCACTTGTAGCCATGGTACCGATAGGTTAGAACTGGAAAAGAGAGAGAATTCTTGTGTCACAACAAAACAGCATGCAAGCTTTCGAGTTCTCCAAAACTCTTCGACAAGAAGATGGTAAACAAAGAAATTTGGGGGGTGGGTATTGAAAAAAGGTAGCTGGTAGTAAAGCTATGGACCTGGTTCTCATAAGCGCCTAATACGAAACACAGAAGGAGGTAGCAGTCATGCAGATGAGCAGGTACTATGAAGGAATCAAGGAAGCCTTATGTCTCCCTAAGGATGGCATAAAAGTCAGAGATGAGGAAATGGCCACTACATGTTTCTCCTTCCCAAAAGGCCATGGTGCAACTCACTCCCACCTATCATCCTACAAAGCCTCATTTATATGTCTGCTACCTCCTCCCATGTTATGTCTTAAGACTCTGGCAAGATGCTCTTCAGGTCTGAGTAGGTACATGTTGTAGTAACCTGCCTGATAAAGCACTGGTGTTAATAGGGTTGTATTGTATCATCCAGTCCCAGTTAGTGATCTCATAGCCTTATTCTAGGCCAGGAGTAGCCCATGTGGTTCTCCCCAGAAGTTCTTTGACCACAACTCCCATAATCCCTGGCCACTGGACATGTCGACTTCACCTGATGGGAGTTGTAGTCCAAGGACATCTGGAAGACACCAGGTTAGCCGCTTCCATTCTAGGCTAACTGATGTTTCCAGATCCTTTTCAAAGCAGAATCATGTGCTGTTGTAATCCACCTTGGAGGTACCAGGACTTGGATACACAACTGAAGCCAGGAAAGGCCATAGTTGGCACCCCATCCTAGGTTGCTAAGAGAGTTCTCCATTCCAGAGAGACCACATGTGTCTCATTGTCATCTGCAAACTACAAACCTGATCCTTATAAGGGAAGTATAACCCCACAATCTCCTTCAGAACAGCTGGAACCCCACTCACTTGGGGCAGGATGAACCTCCCACAAAGATCTCTGTCTTCTCTGACTTGGACTTCAGCTTACTTGCCTTCACCCATTACCACACCCAGGATTTAGCACTACCCCTAAATTTTCAGCGTCTAACCCAGGTTTGGATTAGCTTGGCTTCATTTGCAAGACAAGCCTGATTCAAGGTCTGTAAGTGGGGGAGACAGGAGACAAAAGATGGCGGGAGGCCTCAATTCTTCTTTTCCCTTCTGGTCAAAGTCAATACATAGTCCATGCCTTTTAGAAGAGAGCATGAAGCTCAGAACCAAAACATCTCATCTTGCTGAAAAAAGAAATAAAAAGTTATCTGGGGGAAAAAGCCTTTCTGAGTATGTATAAACTCCTCGGCTGAGAAACTGCTCATGACAATGATTTACAGTATCCATGGTAACCTGTGTGACGTTGAAATTGCCTAATCCTGTTATGAAACCTGTAAAGGGGGGGGGCACTTAGATACAACAACAGCAGCTGGAGCTGCCTCGGTGTTCCTCCTTCTCTCTTCCAGATGGTTCTCTCAAAATCTGTAGCTTTCATATTTAGCAGCAGCTACAGGACACTATTGATGTTTAATTGTGGCCATGAAGCTGATAATAAAAAGAGAGGGAAACGTCCAGTGTTACAGACTAGGCACTAAATCCCTGAACAGTGCCACAGTGGTGGGTCTGCACATGGCTTTCCTTAGGGACATGGAGCTCACCCAGTACACCCAGTCATTGCGAACCTGTATCTCCCAACCTGCTCTCTGTCCCAGCCCAACTGCACAGGAGATGGAAATGATAAATTATCACCAGTGAGCCATTTAGAGCAACCTTGTTTGCTCATGACACATGTCCCCAGATGTACTAAGCCTCTGAACATCGGGGTTAAACCAATCAGGAGAAGCCATCACCTTCCTGCCCCTGTTTCGGAATTGCCAGGGTCCCTGGGGCTGGTCTCCTTCCTAAATCAGACCTACGTTCGTCTAGTCCGCAATTCTGTAGTCTCCAGCGTGTTCTGGTTGGTTCTCACATACCAACCATTGCCCATTTCCCTAGCTCAAGGCAGCTTTGCTTGGAGCCCTAGGAAATCTTGTTGCTCCAGCTCAGGTTGGGAGCTTATACAGGAGCAGGTAGCTCCAGAGGAGATCAGGAGAACTCAGAGATGGAAGTAAACCTGGTGAGGGTCAGTCATGACTTGAGGCCTAGATGGCTGAACAGGTGTCTCTCCCCATAACAGCCTACCCCTTATAGCTGGTATGGCAGAGGGAGGCCTTTCTTGTTATCACACCATTGAGGGAGATTCGCCTGGTGGTGACACAGGGTAGGGTCTTCTCTGTGGTGGTGCCCCATTGTGGATTGTTCTCCTGGAAGCAGTTCTGGTGCCAGAGCTTACAGCATATTGGCACCAGGAAAAGACCTGCCTGTTTGCCTGGGCATTTATGGGACCTGGGAGCTGTAAGGAGGATTTTTATTAGTTGCTGGGCTGAAACCTGCCCTCCAGTTTATCAAAAGATTTATTTCAGTTCAAATGTGGCTTCTGTTTTTTGGTCTCATTCTAATGGTACTTTAGAATTCACTGGGTATGAGGTTTTTTTTATTATGCCTTGTTGCACGGTGGCCAAAGGTGGGGTGCGCATGCTCTCCACTTGAGATTTTTTTTTTTTGTACTTCAGCAGCCTTCTTGATCTCAAAAATCACCATGGGAGGAGTTACTTTGTGGCATCTTCTCCTGAGCTTTAATGGAAGTGTGGAAAGCCATGGAGGATGGCTACCAAACGCCTAAGATTGGTGCACTCACTAATACTGTTTAACGGAAGTCTTTCCTTTTGCATTTTACGTACCCAACAAAATGTTCCATGTGCATTTCTTTAAAAGTAAAAAACCCAACAACTTCATTTTAAAACAACCAACAAAAAGCTGTCAGGTGTACCATCCAGCTGAGGTCTTCAGGGAAGGTGAGCACTTAAGAATGCTGCAGAGTACAGACCCCTGGAGAGATAATTTGCAGAACAATACAATACTCACAGACCTCCCTCAGCCACCTTGAAAGTAGGGTCAGCTCAACACAGCTCTGCATCCCATCCATGAGAATGTCACTGGCATTTTCTCTCCACCCTTTGAGAATTTTCAGATTAAATCTTTTTTTTTCATTAACAGATGGGAAATTGTTTTTTTATTATTATTAAAAAAGGACAATTTTTTGACACACCGCTAGTTTTTATGAATGAATGTTAGTGGATATTTTTTTTAAAATGTTCTTAATTGTTTAGAATGGATTTTTTTAAAAATTGCATTGAAACTCTCCTTGGGATCATACAACAAAAGTCAGGCTAAACTATACATTTAATAAATAAATAACAACAAATAATGGAGAGGGGCAAGCTTCCTCGAAAGACGGAGCTTGCTCTCTCTCTCTCTCTTTGTCAATCTGCCATTGTAATGTGCATCTGCAGCAGACTGGTGGGCAAAGGGGAGGCCAAGTGATGGACTATCAATATTGGTTTTTGCTTCCCTGGATGTTTCAGCCTTATTAATGAAGGGTTTCAGACCCAGGGATGAATGCTGGAGTGAATGAGAAAGCTGTTCATTAGACCTAGAGGCACAGTCTCTATCTATTTCTATAGTTATTGCCAGCAGCTCAACACATGTCTAGGATAAAGCAATCAGTGGAACTACAGGGATGGTATCAGGGATAAACGGGAAAGAAGAAAATGGGCACTTTAGAGTTGCCTTTCAGAATAAGAATGGACAATGACACCCATCTGTTAACTAAGTATGTGTCCCAGATGCACCCCAGAACTTGCTGTGTAATCCATAGCGGTTTCAAGGTAAGTACATAAAGGTACCCACGGTGGACAGATCTATGTGGAAAATGTACCTGAAGGACAAAAGGTTTGAAAACCATTGCTAAGTACAGTGGAAAACTTTGTTCAGGCTGCATTTAAATGAACCAACCAAATTCAAATGTCTTAGACTACTACATTGGTGGAATGCAACAATCCTTTGGATTCCTCTGAATTTTGAGATGCAGATCTTGGCTCAAAGAGGTGGCAAAGTGCATAAAAACACTTATTTTAGGATTACATCTGTTTCAAATTGTGTACATCAAGAGAAAAAATATGTTTTTAAGATTGTGAGGAATATATATTTAACTGTAAGTTTTCACTTTTTTAAAAAAGTAACCACAAATTACTGCAAAAATGGGACAGAATGGACATGTGAACATGTGTAAAACTGACATGGTCTGTTCGTCCCTAACTATGGCTTGAATGAGGGACGCGGGTGGCGCTGTGGGTTAAACCACAGAGCCTAAGACTTGCCGATCAGAAGGTTGCCAGTTCGAATCCCCGCGATGGGGTGAGCTCCTGTTGCTCGGTCCCTGCTCCTGCCAACCTAGCAGTTCAAAAGCATGTCAAAGTGCAAGTAGATAAATAGGTACTGCTCAGGCAGGAAGGTAAACGGCATTTCCGTGCGCTGCTCTGGTTCACCAGAAGCGGCTTAGTCATACTGGCCACATGACCCGGAAGCTGTACGCCGGCTCCCTCGGCCAATAAAGCGAGATGAGCGCGCAACCCCAGAGTCGGTCACGACTGGACCTAATGGTCAGGGTTCCCTTTACCTATGGCTTGAATTACTATTCAAGTTCGGCTGGTTTATTTTTTTAAAAAACCTATGGCTTATATTCAAAGCATTGCCAAGTCCCCCATTCCATTAGTGCAAGAATTTACACTTGTGCGCCCAAACGTCCCCCCTCTCCTCTCCCTAAACCTGTTCTTTTGTTTTCCCCAAAGCCCTGGGTGCATATGAGGGAAAGGGTGGGGGGTGGGGGAGAACTCTAATGAGAATGTGTTTATCCTTCCACTTTCGAAACAAGGGCAATGACTCCTACCCCCACTCTCTCACTGCCGCCATTTCTAAAATTCTCACAAGTCAACTTGGTGGCTGAAATGAGAACACTTCTGTACATTTTCCTGTGAAGAGTGAATGACCCTTCAAGGCTGATTCATATGATGCTGGCAATTCTTAACCTCATTTTACGGTTGCCAGCTGTTCTCTCCCCGCTACCCCCCAAATCTCACATAAGGGAACCAGAGCTCTTCACCTGATGCCCTTTCCATCTCTGCTGAAAGAGAAGCATTTGCTCGCTTTGCCATCTATGTGGAGTGCGTTTAAGAAGAAACACAGTCCTGGAATTGCACAAAGGAACAGCCAAAGGCCTTTGCTCCTTGATGAACATTTAACAGTTATTTCGGGAAACACAAAATTATAGCTTCAGTGATCAAACCCACGTCACCGTAAATTACTGTGGTAGGCAGAATCAGAGTGTCACGGCGCTGCAAACTTTCCAAGAAGACAGGCAGCTAAAGGGCTGAGTGGAGAGAGCAATTTCACACACCCCTCCTGCTTATAGGTTAATTAGCAAAACTAAAAAGTGCCTGTAGATTTCCCAGGAGACCTGCAGTGTGAGGACAGAAGAGGCTCCTAGGATTGCACTTGCAAAAGCTTGTGGGATGGCTAGACGCCATTTTCATACTCTTCTTTGCCCTTTTTCATGCCACTTCCAGTTTTGCGGTGATGTGTGCAGTCGCATGTAAAAAGGTAAAGGAAAAGGACCCCTGACAGCTAAGTCCAGTCGCAAACGACTCTGGGGTTGTGGCGCTCATCTCGCTTTACTGGCCGAGGGAGCCAATGTTTGTCCGCAGACTAAGCCGCTTTTGGCGAAACCAGAGCAGCGCACGGAAACACCGTTTACCTTCCCGCCTGAGTGGTACCTATTAATCTACTTGCACTTTGATGTGCTTTCGAACTGCTAGGTTGGCAGGAGCAGGGACCGAGCAACGGGAGCTCACCCCGTTGCAGGAATTTGAAACACTGACCTTCTGATCGGCAAGCCCTAGGCTCAGTGGTTTAGACCACAGTGCCACCCGCGTCCCGCAGTCGCATGTACACATGAATAAATGGGTAATTGCCTGTAGGTGTTTATATTCCCTCCACACTGCCCCCGCTTTTAAATGGAAACTTTCAAAAGCCAGCCCTGTCTTATTTCAGGGCCCACTTGTTGAGTGTGGCCCTAGACCTCTGCCCCAAAGTTGTTCCCTGAGGGCCCCACTGTTCCCTGTGTGCAGGTCCAGAACCCAGGCCATTGCAGCACATTGCTTTTCTCATTAAGTGCTTTTTAAATCTCCTTGCATCTCAATGAGAGGGTGAAATTTGCACTTAGACCTCTCCCAGCAGAAATAAATGACACATAAAAGGGCTTAACTTTGACTGCACTGTGCCCTATTCTTTCTTCCTTTATTATTATTTTTTTAAAAAAATATTATTCTCCATTTTGCTCCTGGAGAAAATTATTATTGTTCCTTTTTTAAACAATAAAAAATACCGCCTTCAATGAAAGTACTTAATGCAAAGGAAGCGATTCTCATTTCAGTAGTAATCACCGACACGGCGGATTTGAATTAACTAGGCAGGAGAAAGAAATCCGATACTCGAGAAGTCCATATGCCTGCCTATGTAGACGTAACAGAAAGAAAGCTAATCCACACAAGGAGGAAATTGCTTGGAATTCCAAAATACCCCTGCCCTTCCTTTTAGCACAATCCCTGGAAATGGGCAAGTTCCCTCTTGGAAATCACAGCTTTCTAGTAAATGAATTAGTAATCCCTCCTGTTCACCACCCTTGGCTGTTCCAGATCAAACTTCCTCAAAACACCAGGAAATCAAGGGGAAACGTCTTAATTGCCTTTGATCGCTGTTACAACTGTCACTATTTTGGATATTTCTTTTGGATGTTGCACATAAAAGAAGACTTTATATGTGTAGTATGTCTATTGGACTTTATGGGAGGAGGGTGTAAAGATGCAATATTTTAAAAAGAGCTCATGCAGCAAGACCTGGTGTCACAACCAAAATGACAGGCATGCAAAGCAGCAAACTGAGCAGCGGCTAAGCGCTTCTCCCATACAATTCAGGCATCTATTATTTCATATATTTTTTAATGCCACACAAAGGCTTATCAATTAACTTATCATGAATTCACTGAATAACACAACTTCCCTTCCCCATGCAAACTTCTTCCAGGATGGGAAAATTTCTTAATGACGTCACAGACACCAGCCAATCAGTGCCATGCACAGACAAGTTCTTATTCCACTTTGCTGAACTCATCCCCCCACCCCAGGCTGTACCTGCGAAGGGAAAATGTATTTTAGAATTTATTTTATTTATTATTGCTGAGTATAGGCCTTTCCCTGGTGTGCTAGCTTTACTGCATGCAGGAAGTTTTTGATGTGAAGCAGGGAAGGTGATTCAGAAATGTAAACTCCCTCCCCACCTCCTCCAAGCTACCCTTTCATTCTACAGGAATGGTTCCAGGATCCCACGGCTAGACTGGTAGCTGAACTCAGGCTCTCAAATGTGCATCTATTAACACTTTCATTAGCCCTTTGTGGTTTGGCAGGGGATCTGCATTATGGATTTTAACATAGTAGGTGAGCACATTTAGACACTACTTTGGGACAAGGCGCAATCATTTTTAACGGCACAAAGCTCCTTATGCGCATACACCTAAAGCTCTGAAATTCTGTACTCTGCTTGGAAGGTTTCAAAGCCTAGCAACAGCTCCAGGCTTGATCACTTACATAAACTGTAGCTGAGAAAGGTGCCTTCAGCTCTGAGAGCAGTAATTCTTATTTAAGCTCAAGACTCCCTGTTTCCATCTGTTCTCAGACTCTCAAGGGCATCTCACACTTGTTGCAAAGGAAGTTTCAATCCATTTTAGCTTTAGTCGACTACAAGCAAACAAAAACAGCAAATCACCAAGTTGTCAGAAAGGCCTATATGGACTTGACTGCACACAACTAGTTTTGGAACTACGCAGAAAAGGCCAGTCTAGGATCACAAATCCTGTCGGAAGCTTGTTGGTACATGCTCTAGTGCCACACGGGTGCAAGGCAAAAGTTCTCCATCTCCAAGATACAGATGGAGGAAAAGCAGCTGGAGCTGACAATTTGAGGGCAGGAAAATGGCTGGGGTTGAATGTGTTTCACCGCCACCATTGCCACCTTCCTGTGAAATTGCAATCTAAGCAGCTGCATTTCGTAAAACAAAAGCCACCTGTAAACACAGATAACAGAACTACAGATTGCTTGTTGTTCTATCAGTAGGTGTTAGAGCACAGGGCTGCACACACACAACATTATATTCAACATTCAGTGTACACTGCCATCTTGATTTTGTTGCTTCGCGCACACATACAATCTAGACCCACTGCATGTCCCCCCAAAAGAGCTTTTTCACAAATTAGTTTAAATCCAGAAATAAAATATCAGAGCAGGTTGATTCTACATTACAACCATTGTGTCTGAAGGAGTGGATGTGCTTCCAGCAACAGGGGGTGCACCCCCACACCCATGTTGTGGGTGGGTGCAAATACCAAGGGAGAAATTCAACATCATGCTGTTGATTGTTCTGTCTGGGCATGCATGTTAGCTCACCAGATCCCCAACTCTGGCAGTTTTCCTGACCCACACATAGTCAATTTCAGATGGGCATGGAGGAGGAAAGGTGAAATTGCACCATGGAGGGCTTCCACTGATGGGACTCATGAGCTGAATCCTGCCTCAAGATCACAATTACTTTTCTCCTTCTTCATTCACCTGGGGGATGTGCAGGGACAAAAAAGGGATGGATAACCTAATTACCATATTTTCCTATGTATAAAACGCCCCCATGTATAAGATGCCCCCTATTTTGGGGGACTCCAAATTAAGAAAACACCCCTTAGCACTACCCATGTATAAGATGAGCCCCAATTTTAAACCTAATTTTTTGGTAAAAAAAATCTTATACATGGAAAAATACGGTATGTGGTGGGTTTTCACGTAAGTGTCATGTAGCCGCAGCCACCACAGTTGTAGAAAGGATCTAGACTCAAAGCAGCATGTTGAGGATGAGCATGGAAGGTTCCGTATAGAGGAAAAACTTATTTGCGTCACAAGTTCACACACACTGCCAGTGGATATACTTTGTAACAGTAAGTTGTTATTGTTATGAATGCAAGGTCCCTCTGCCAATTGGCAAGAGGGGTTGGTTCACAAAAGAAAAGTGGCTTCACGCTGCTTACATGCCCTCAGAGAGTCACATTTAATATTAAGAACCATCATTTAAAGGGAAAGCAGAGACTGCTGTACTAAAGGCAGGCCTCTGCAACTTGTGACCCACAAGAGCTCAATAAACCTTTGCTTTCTGTTTTGCTGTCAATCTGGGGCTGCAAAAATGTGTGTGTGTGTGTGTGTGTGTGTGTGTGTGTGTTCCTGAGCAGACAAAGCATCAGCAGCTTCTGAGGCTAAAAGAGGACTGGGCCACCATTTGGCAGAGAGACGAGGGGCAGCAGCAAGGCGTTGATTCTTTGCGTGTCACACAGACTGCCCTACATCTCTCCAAAGCTGGATGGGGAAGGGTGACAGCCAGAGCACCTGCCTTGTACACAGAAAATCCCAGGTTCAGTCCCCTACATCTGGGCTGAGAATGTCCCCTGTCTGAGACGCTGGGGAGTTGTTGCCAGTCAGTGTGGACGGTACTGAGTTAGATGGACCAGTGGTCTGATTTGGTCTAAAGCAGCATACCCAACTCCTAAGCAAACCTACTATCCTCAGGTGTGCTCCTACCAGCATGGAAAGCAAACTCAACTCCTAGTCCAGTCAGCTTCTAAACTTGGAATGGGTGTGTTCATCTACTTCAGGCAGCCAAATGTTTTGGGCCAACCAAAACAATACTCTTCACATCAAAAGGTCCTAATCTTTGATTCCTTTAGGACCAGCATGTGGAACTGTTTCAACAATTGTGCACACATGAAGGTGTATAAAGGACATCCACTTCTCCTCCCGCTCTAAAACTGCATATATTCAATTTTTTGTGCTTCAACAGACTTCTAAACTTCAAGAACACAGCTAAGATCTGCCTCCAGAGGTTTATTTTCTCCTGGCCTTAATGGATGTCGACAGTGTAATGTATTTTACCTTGACCACCAACCCAAGAAGGCCCACTCATGACATTTTCTTGACAAGCTCCTGGACAGAAAATCCTCTCTGCTGAAAAGAAAAGCGCAAAAGGAAACAGAGACGCGTGCCACTGCTTTTAAAACAGAGTTCCTTTAAAACAAACACATGAAATTATACAAAACCTCCTTGGGGGATGATTAAGAAAGGAATTGCTCTTGGCCTACCACAACATGTTTTCATTTAGCCACTAGTCACATTCAGCAGTTTTTGTACCTCCAAGTATTCACTGTCAAACCAAGTGAACAACATTATCTACACATTTATTTTAACCAATGGAAATAAAAACACAATTTTATATTTGTGGAAGGACTCCAGTCCCTGGAGGCTGATTGTGAAAATTATACAGTAAACAAGGGAAGGAAAAGAAAAGAAAAGAAAAGGAAAAGAAAAGAAAAGAAAAGGATCCAAAGTTACTAGGGGTGGAGGAGAAATTCAAAAAGTTGAACTTTCCAACATAATAAGCAAACTGAAATGGACATCCCTCCTCCAAAGTTTGAAATGCACTTCTCCAGTCAAGTAATGTGTACAAAACTGTGTATAGAAGGGTAGAGCATGCATAAACACAAATATATTGGTGGAAAGAATATACGGAAATGCATTGTATTAGTGGAAATTGTTTTGTAAAATTGCATATATTAGGCAAAACTGCATACAAAAATGTCAGGAATTAATTCTCAACAAAATGCTGATGAATTTTCATAAGGACTTTTGAAAAATCACAAACTGATTTGGAAACGTGGAGAACTGAACTTAAGGTTGGAAAAACTGGGAGAAATGGAAATTGACATCTTTGCTCATCCCTAACTTAAACCCAAGGTACAGTAAAAGGCATTCCATAACACAACATGGACCTTTAGTGACTAAGGAGGAAACTGCATTTCCCTGTAATAAAAGATACACCATTTACGTATATATTTTGAAGACAAAAGTGTGAAAAGGGGAATTGCTTGTGCAAGTACTTTTCAACCCTTCTTGTAACATGACAGTTACAAGAGGTGTAATGACAGGGTAGTGTAGCGATTACAGCAAAGAGACTTGGGACACCAGGTTCAAGTCCCCACTCTGTCACAAGGTGACACTGGGCCAGATGCTATCCCAGTTTATCCTACCTCACAGGTTGTTGTATGGATTAAATGGATGGGTGCTGAAGGAAGAACCATGGATGATGATGGTGGTGGTGGTATATATATCACCCTAAGCTCCTTGGAGGAATGTTGGGCTCTGAGTGTAGTAACCCAATTAAAAACAGCTCAGTTTTATTTAATTCAATCTTATTAGTTCATTTAATTCCTTTCATCTTTATTGGATTGGAAGTTAAGCTGTTATTTTGCTGGCATGTAAAAGACACATTTGGCACACAGGAACTAGGAAGCGGTATGCACTGTGTATACATCTTACAAATATGGACTCATCAATATGAGGGAAATGACCCACAAAACAAAGAGAACCCAAGTGAACACAACCACACTGTGAGTGGCAAGTATTTGGCAAAGCCATAAGAGTTGGTAGAACAACTTGGATAAACAAAGGCAAATGTGTGATTTTTTCTCAAAGCCATGCACTACAGAAGATTTAGCTTGCTTTTGATCTGGAGGAAAGCCCAAAAAATTCAATGTTGATTGGTGCAGCTATCACACAGGTTCTAGCGTTCAACTCCATCTCAACCATTTAAATGCATTATTCCCACATTAAGTTTTGTGATGTAGTAATATCTCCTGGCGCTGTGGGTAAAACCTCAGTGCCTAGGACTTGCCGATCGTATGGTCGGCGGTTCGAATCCCCGCAGTGGGGTGAGCTCCCATCGTTCGGTCCCAGCTCCTGCCCACCTAGCAGTTCGAAAGCACCCCCAGTGCAAGTAGATAAATAGGTACCGCTTTATAGTGGGAAGGTAAACGGCGTTTCCGTGCGCTGCGCTGGTGCTGGCTCGCCAGAGCAGCTTCGTCACGCTGGCCACGTGACATGGAAGTGTCTTCGGACAGCGCTGGCTCCCGGCCTCTTAAGCGAGATGAGCACGCAACCCTAGAGTCGGACACGACTGGCCCGTACGGGCAGGGGTACCTTTACCTTTAATATCTCCTGGGGACCTTAACCCACATAAGAAGTGAACATCTGAACATTCTAAAGTAACATCCTAGCGAATTCCTAAAGAAAACGGGGGTTTAAATATTCCTCAGAAATTTGGGATAATAGCTTGTTGATAGTCACGGCAAAAGATTATAGCAACCAGAGCTGTCCCTTGAGTAGTGTGCAATTTATATCCCTGCTGAAATTGAGATGGAGTGGGGAGGTCTGACTGAAACAACCAGCACATGCAGTTTTTAAAAATATGGAATGGGATAGGGTTGCTCTGCCACATGTTTGTAAAACAGCCCCATTTTGCTTTCATTATCCAATCTCTTAAAAAATAGGTCAATAATGGTCTGGTAGGCGCATTAGCTAGGGAACAAAAGCAGACAGAAACTGCTCTGTTATTTAATAATTCAAATCCCAAATGCTTAATTAAAAACAGTTTTGCTAGATGGGGAAAAAAGTGAGTAAGAAACCACATCTTCCTTCATGGGCTCCGCTGACTGGCATCAAAGAGTTGCCTCCCTCTTTTTACAACGCAACACAGAGCATGATTTGGGGAGAGGGAATGTGGGGGGCCTCTCAGGGAAAATAAGAGTGTAATAAAATACTCCTCACTTGGTATTCTTGTGGCACCTTTCTGCAACCTTAGTTTATACTTCAGACAACACGGTGCCAAGTTAAATTCACAGCCAGAATAGCATAAGCTGTAAAGACCCTTCAGTAGAATAATTCTAGGATGATGATTAATGTAAATTGCTTCTCCCCCAGCCCACATCCTATTTTTCCTGTGGAGAATATAAATTTGAACAGGATTACTGCTGCTTTGTTGCCTATTTGCACCATTCTTTCAGGTAGCTTGGAAAACAGCCAATGTCTGGGGTCTGCCATGCTGCCTTCTACGCAATATGCTGCTCATTAATAAGTTTGGCTTATTGACAGTAGACAACAGCACCCAAAATTATATACTATATAGACATTCATGGAACAGTCTCTCAAGAGTGAACAGAGTGCACATTTCACAGAACAGTTGTGTGGCCAATAGCCCATAAGTGGTTTCTTGGGGGATCAGATGGAAAGGTCTATGCAGCCCAGATGTCTCTGGGAAGACCACAGATGGGAAATGAGGGCAATAGCACTCTCCTCCTTTCCAGCAGCTGCTTTTGACTGGTTATGAGTTGTGTTCTACTGCATTGTTTTCTTATTCTGTAGCCTACTCTGGGAAGTTCTGGTGAAAGGTATGAGTTGGAGGGTTGGCTGAAAAAAAGAGAAGGTGCTGGTATTCCTAGCTTGATAAAAGTGCCATGAATGCTAGAACTAAACAGCTACCACAGGCAGCAAAGGCACACTCACACGCAAGGTGATGAACATCAACAAAAAGAAAGCACTGAGTTTGGAAGGATGAGTTTGGGAAGACAACTGGCTGGACACTGTGAGAACAGGATGCTGGCTTGATCCAGCAGGGCTCTTCTAATATTCTAGGGTAGATTACTGAAATGTGTTATATGTAGGGCTGCCTCTGAAGATGGTTCAGAAACTTCAACTAGGACAGAATTCGGCAGCCAGGTTGCTCACTGGGTCAAGACAGTTTGAGCATATTACATCAATCCTGGCCCAATTGCAATGGCTGCCAGTTAGTTTCCGGGCCCAATTCAAAGTGCTGGTTTTGACCTGAGCTTAAATGGCTCAGGACCGCAATACCTCAAGGACCACCTCTCCCCATATGAACCTACTCAGGCCCTGAGATCATCCTCGGAGGCCCTTCTTTGTGTGCCTCCTCCACATGAAGTCCAGAGGGTGGCAGTGGCTCTCCATTTGTGGAACACTCTCCTCAGGGAGGTTCACCTATAGATTATAGATCTTTAGGCGCAAGGAAAAAATGTTCCTCTTCAACCAGACCTTTGGATGATTGGCATCCAATGCCCTTTTAAATACGTTGTGAGGGAGGGGAATTATTGGTTTGCTGTTGCTTTTATTTTTCTTATGTATTTTGTAGGTTTTATATTGCAATTTTATGTTGTGAACCGCCCTGAGATCCGGGGATGAAGGGCTGTACACAAATTTAATGAATAATAAGAATAATAATGCATTTTCATTACTGGGAGGAGACGATGCACACCAAGTCAAAGTTCCTTCCTCTTGTCATGTAAGGCTTAGAGGATGCTCGACTCGGGAAGACAGACAAGAACATTATTGTATCTCCTAAACAAGAACAGCAAGAAGAAACTTCTGAGTCCATCTAGTGACTAACTTAGCAGCACTTTCAGCGCCCCTCCCCATTCTAGCATCCATGGGTGCACTTGGACCTCTTGAAAGAAGCACAAAAAGGTTTTTGAACTGGCCTTCCACCAGGTACCATTTCTGAGCTGAATCTGGCAGTGACATTATAACACAGCCTTTCGGAATAGCTATAGTATAGATTAGAGCTAAGTATTGCAAGAAATGAAAGGGTATGGTTGTTTTAATTGGAATGGGGGTGGGGGGAAGAGAAGAGGCATTTTAAAGTCAGATCTATTTTCCACAGAGAGAAAAAATCTCCACTTTTTTCTATTTCTTTTTTTAAAACAGCCTGGAACATGAACATATTTGAAATGCAGACTCCCACATAAGTATGCCATCTGTGAAGAATTTGCAGCAAATCCCACCCCCATCCTGCCACAGTTTGATGGGGAAGGCAGAGAGAAGTTGTATTACAATGTTGTATTGAGTTACACCGCAACTATTAGGATTTTTCCTTTTTTTTTAAAAAAACCCCAGACCTCTCAGGGTTTCAAGCCTGGATATCAGGGAATATTGAACAGTTCAGCTGCAGCTGAACTCTCTGGGCATCCCAAGGCAGGAAAAGGAAAGGAGGTTGCAGATTCATGCCGCATGTTGCTGCATACAGAGCACCTTGCTCAAATCATGTCCAGAGGAAGACCAGGGCAGTGTTCTGGAAACAGCTGAATGAGGAATGGTTGAAAGAGTTGGGTGTGCTTAGCCGGGAGATGTGACAACAGTCTTCAAATATCTGATCTGCTGTCATGGAGAAGATGGAACAGACTTAGGATGTTGTAGAGAGCAGGACTGCCCTGGCTACCAATTAGTTTCCAAGCCCAATTCAAGTACTGGTTTTGACCTATAAAGGCTTAAACGGCTCAGGACCACAATACCTCAAGGACTGCCTCTTTCCATATGAACCTACTCGGACCCTGATATCATTTTCTGAGGCCCTCCTTGATGTGCCTCCTCCTTGAGAGGTCTGGAGGGTGGCAACACGAGAACGGGCCTTCCCTGCAGTGGCTCCCCCTCTGTGGGAAGTTCCCCTCCCCACCAGGGAAGTTCGCCTGGTGCCTTCATTGTACACCTATAGGCACCAGGCAAAAACATTCCTTTTTAACCAAGCCTTGGGTTGATCTGATTGGCATCCTATTCCTTTTTAAAATGTGGGGGTTTTTTTGGGGGGGCAGTGGTCCATCAAGTCCAGAATCCTATTCTCACAGTGGCTGATGAGATGTCTGTGAGAAGCCTGCAATCTGCACAACAGCACTCTGCCCGCCTGAGATTCCCAGCAACTGGTATTCAGAGACATAATACCTCTGACAGTGCAGGTAAAATATAGCTATCATGGCCAGTAGCTGCTGGTAATATCAGAGGTAGCAACTCTGCCAGTCATATTTAGGAACGCAATGTGGCCAGCTCAGAAGGCCTTAACTGTTATGCTGCCTTCCACAAAACAGGCAGCATAGATGGGTCACAAATAGGTAAGACTCCAAGTAGGGTTGCCATACATCTGGGAATTCCTGGACATGTCCTCTTTTGGGGGTCCTACATGCACGTTTGGAGGAAATTTTACATTTTAAAGCAAATGCCCTGGACTTTGGGTTTTCCATTTTTTTTGTTTGTGTGTGCATGGGTGGTTTGGGTTCAGGCTCTGGCAACCCGGGCTCTGGCAGTGATTGCCCTAAAAAAGCTCAAGAGCTTTTTGTGTCCGCATTTTTACCTCTTGAAATATGGTCCTGGATATGATGGTCTTTCTGCAAGAGTCCGTTGCAGATACTCC